TGTCATGTTTTGATGTGATAAAACACTGCAAGTTTTAAATTGACTTTTGCTGATTCATTGATATGTGCTTATCACCATCATCCACTGCTACTTGTAAATATGTTACCCAGCTTATTCCATGACAACCATGACTGTGGTATTCTTTATCATGACTTACCATCAAATTCCTCTATCTTTCTCTGTTTTTTTTCTACTTTTTTTTTTTTTAGCAACCTATTACTTCATCTGTTATCCTTTCTTTTTGTTATGTGTCTTGTTTATTTCCATATTTGCTGCTTAATAACTTCTATATCTTTTGTCGTTATTCTCTAATTCAAGTAATCTCTCTTTTTATCTCTTTTAGATTTAATATCTGATGTGTTAATTTTTTGTTGGCCATAAATTTCTATTCTTTTGAATTGTCCTGTCTTTCTTGAGAAGATTCAGTTCCTTGCTTTGTAAGCATTTTATGCCCTCCCACTCCAAAATTAGTCGGAGCCATGGAAATTCTATGAGTGTTGTTAATTAAGTCTACATTTATATTTGTCTGTTATTCTTTCACTTTTTACATTTACCATTTTCTGCTGCACCCTCTCATCCTTTCGTTCTCTTTGTCTGCCCATAAAAATTTTTAATGTACTATAATTTTTATCCCTTCATATCCCAACCTACCTTTTTAATTTTTTTGCTATTTGCCCTTTGATATCCAAGCAGGTGACCTGTCTTTTTGTCTTTCTATCATCTACATCCACCCCCACCTTTCTCTTTTATATAGACTATGGGCAAAAAGTTTGGGGTCACCCTGTATTTCTTTAAAAAAACATGCAAAAATATTTCATTTTAGTGTATTTTTTAAAGAAATGCTGGGTAGCCCCAACTTTTTACCTGTAGTATATATTTAAGCCATCTAAAGATTGCATGAGCATGAAACTCAAGTTATGACTGGATCCATCCTATCATAAGATTTAATTTTGCTTGGTCAAGGCAATCTGGGCTTCGAGCACTTTACTGAGTAGGTAAGTTTGCTTTTAGGCCTTTTTTTTCTTTCTTTTTTTGGTATTGTTGGTTTTATTCAAGGTTGTATCTGGATAAGAATTTTAGGTTTTGGCAAGTTGTCCATTGGTTCCACCAACAGTTTTTGTTTTTATATTTTATAAATATTTTATTTTATATGCACTGTACTTAGTGGAAAGTCAAACAAGCATAAATTGATCTAATTTAAAAAAATAAACCAGTTTGTCTTCTGATGATCGCAAAAGCGTGAAACTCGCATATATATATATATATATATATATATATATATATATATATATTTTCTTTTGGCTGTTTTTTTTTTCACTTTTTCTTTAGTTTTCTGAACTCCCAATTTTTCTCCTTAATATTCTTTGTGTCCTTAGCTTTTCCTAAATTCTTTTCCATTGATGTTTACTCATTACAGCTTAGAACAGCTAGGCCTCGGGTGAATACTACACTCTGATCTTAGGTAGAAAATTGCAACTGTTGTACATACATATGTGTAAACAGGATAATAATATAGATTATGTGAAATGAAATTGAATAAAAATCTCTATAGTATGTGTGATATCATCCATTGCTTGGCAGGTTTGAGGCAATTGTTCAGGTATAGTTTCATTTAATGCTCTAAATATCTTAGTAAAAAAAAAGAAAACAAAAGTTACTTATGTATCATGTTTGATGGTTGCGTTAGTAGTTCAGTGGTGATCAGTATTAAAAGTGGGAGTGACATGTGTCCAAATTCCAAACTGTTGTAGTCACTTTTGCACAGATATATAGTTTTAAGGTATGCTATATTTATGGGTTAAAGTTGTCAGTATCAGGGGAAAATATATGTAAATATGAAAGTGGACATTGAAATCAAAACCCTACAGCAACAGTCTGTTTTGTGCTTAAACACAATTATCAGGCCTGTGGATTGTGTTTAATCATGAAACACTGTCACCACATGGTCTTGGCTATATATATATATATATATATATATATACACAACACTTTTCAAAAACTAATGTTTATACCAGTTTTTTGTCCAATTGGAGACTGTCTTTTTTGATAATAAAAAAGAAACCATCAGTGTATATGTTATGACATTTTCCTTGAAAAAAATGATCTGTTATCTTTCTGAGCAAAGTGTAATAATAGGCAAACATATAACACAAATCTACAGTACCTTGCTAATCAGATTTTGGTTAGCAATGCAGTTGTTTTTTTTCCACTCTAAGTGCAAAAAAGAATTACAAATTATAGAGGCCCTTTACATTAAAAGAAATAACCCAGTATTAATAAAATTTGTTTCAATTTAGGTTTGTCATTATGTGTTTAAACTGTGAATTCATATTTGCTTTATGATGCTGAATTCTATTTCATAATATTAGCACATCAACCCATGTTCATTTCAAACTTTAAATTGATAATACAAACACCATGTTGGTTATTTCTGATTATTATGACCAATGATCTTAACATTTAATTTTTGGCAACTTCTTTGCTGAAATAAAGGGATTAAAAAGCTGAATAGACATTCTCCTGTTCTTTTTAACAGAAAATGTTTGAAATGTTTGTTTTTATTTTTTGTTTTTACAGAGAACATATGTTTTTGCATTCCTTCTTGGTTCAAGATTGTTCATCAAACCCCAAGTTCTGTTTTCTCAAGTTTGTCAGGTATGTAGAATTATTTCTTGCCATTAATAATGTCAGAAGCATATTTTTCTTGAACTGCGAGCATATTGAGTACATTTTTATGTAAAACAGCCATTATTTCTGTTTGATAATTGTTCCCTTTTTTAACAAGTTGCTATGTGACATTTTGGTTGGAATTTATCATAGATTATTCTAGAATGCAATCAATAACATTTTGACTTCTAACTACTATTGTGAACAAATCTTTCCTGATACCAAAAACAGTGACTATAATCATTTCATGTATTTTCTTTTCTAAAAATATTTTTAAATAAATGCTTTGTCGCTGTGTTGCATTTATGTAATGAAGTGGATAATGTTGCTTGATGCAAACATGAGCTGACTAATGAAAAACACAAGACTTGAATCTTTCATTATTTAATACTACATTTTATTCAACTTCTTTATCAGTTACTCTTTACCAATCTATGGTGCAGCCTCACAGAACCCTTATTCAATATGTGGACCTTATAATCTCCTCTTGTGATGTATGAGAGACTGCCTTCTAGGTTGATGGTTTATATAACTGTATCTTAGAAATTTTCCCAACATTTGAAAAGCCTGGTACAGGTGTAAGGCTATGTGTTTCTCTATTTGGCAATCAGGAGTGACCCATGGTTAACCCCATGATACCTGGTTACTTTGATGGTCTTCAATGTCTATTCTAAAATCATACTATACTTAAATGAGAACATAGTATATATTTTCATGAGGTATTACTACATAGGATATTATTTAAACATTATTTTCATTTAATCTTTGTTACAAATGAACCTATGATTTAGTTTCCTTTCATACAAACCCATTTTTAACTAAATGCTTTGAGATATTTTAGATTAGTCATTAATGATAGTTTTCTTAATATTTTTCCCCACTTATTATGAATTAGCCTTGAAGCCGCCTTTCGGGTAACCTTTAAGCCAGCTCCAGTGGATGGCTTTTGGTCCTTTTTCGTTTTATCATCAGTATCCTATGTACATGAAATTTGTAAGAATTTAGAAATAATAAAATTATTTTATCTTTATTCAACACCTTAATTCGGCATAATCTTTCTTCATATGCACAACTGATCTCCATAGTTTGTTTACATTTATTTTGTGTGCAATTTTTATTTTATTTTTAAATCACCATTCTTCATGATCCTTTCATATAAAGTTATTCTTAAAAGACATTAGGGAACACAAACTATGTAAGATTTTGAATATGTCACAGTATGTGTGCTAGAAAAAGGAAAAAAAAACATGAGCAATGCACTGTGTCCTGCTTAAGTTTTAATTACAATTTAATTAGATGATATCGATTGCAATTACGATGAAAAATGAAATTAAAATTAAAGCTCTAAAGATTTGTTTTTTAAAACTTTCACTCTGTTCAATATTTAAATTTACCTTCAAATAAGTTATTTGATTAATTTTTAATCATGTGTAACTACAGTAATTACTACCTGTTACTTCAGTTTGTTCATGATTTCCCGAGATAAAAAAAAACAGATGGACAGACACATGTACACTGCACTCTATTTATATGGATATGATGTCAACTATTAATGTTTATAATACACATGTTGTTAGATATTTTTGGTTGGTTTTCAATTGTGATTTGGTTAGATTTAATTTCTTTTTTTTTTTTAATCATTTCACCTGAAGCAAGGCAATAAAGCCACAAAGACACATGTGGTTACTGAGAGTGAAAGAAACTGAGAAAATGTTATCGAGGAGCAAGGACAATAAAAGAAAAGAATTCAAAATGACAGTTGATGTTGCATTTAAATTTTAGCATTTCTCTTTCGGATATTTATCAAGTTTGAAATATTCTAAAAATGTTTCAATTATTCTATTTCAGATGTGTGTTTGCCAGCAAAATTTAGTATCTGACAGAGCAAAAAAGGTAAAATTTATATTTTAAACTAATATTTTTCCAATTTTTATATCTTCATGGGTGATATTATTTTTTCCCACCAAAAAAAAAAATTTACCTGATTGACCAAATAGTTTTTTTTTTTTATCTTTATACTCCATTAGATTTTTTTTTTCTTGAAAAATATTACTATTCAATATTGGTATACATTAGGTTAGAGCATCTTCAGGAAATACAGTAATTTGTTATTTCTAAGAATTGTTTTGACTATTTGACTACTCCTGTTGATGTTATCTTTTTATCCAATATATTATTTGTCATTCATCTAAATCTGAAGGAATAAAACTATTTCAAAATGATGTTATTAGATGATTCATTCAATTTAAATTATTAACCAATATAATTTTTTATTTTTAATAACTGAAATTAATATTGCTAATTAAAATTTTGACATTTGTTTAATTTTGCAGGAATCTCTTGGACGTTTTGGTCATCACCTATTGCGACTGCTCAAGTAAGTTCTCTTTCTTAATTCAAGAATTGTCTTCCTTAATTTGAAGAGCATATAATCATTCACTGTTTACTTGTTCTTGATATTGCTTTCTGTATCATGTTTTTTTATAAGTTCACCAAAGAAATATAAAAGACAGAACCAGAATGAGACCGTTGACATAGAGCACGTAATATGGAAAGATAACTTGGAGAGTTTGATAGGACAAATTGAAGTCAAATGGGACAGAGGAAAACAGCAGATAGCCTGTCTAACAAGCTTGTTTAAATGGTTGGCAGAACAGAGAGTAGGAGAGATAGCAGAAAGACAAAACATACTAAGAGCTACAAAAGACAGGAAATTGTAGAGAGCCATGATCTGCCACACCTGGAAGGGACACTGTATATAGAAGATTTGATAACATAGAACTTGAGATTGAATGTTATTGCAATTTCCAAAGAGTTTACATTAATTCAGTGGGTTTGACATATTTTACTATATCTTAATTACATCAGTTCATCAATAAGTCCATAGCCTAATAATAATAAACATTGATGTAGTTGTAAATCAACCTCAGTTGTGATAAAAGAATCATTGTAAGCTTCATGATCTTGTTGGTGCTTTCATAGTATGTGCTACACCAGCTGTTGCTTTCAATGAAACTGGGAAATGACTGCAAAACATTTAAAAAAAACCCAATTTATAGACAGAAGCACCCAAATGCATGCTGGCATTTTTTCCTAGCCAATAAAATACACACTGGTTTTTGGTTTCATCTTATTCAGTCCTGAAGTCGGAAACTTAGGTTTGCTTGTCTGAACTTGCTTTTATGTGTCATCTCCAATTCTTAGTTTATGAACTTTTTGCCTTATTACTGTTAATTTGCCTTGCATATATTGTTTGCTTACTTTATATTATTTTTTGCCTTGCTCTTTTCTTTTATTTTCTTTTTCTTGTTATTGCAAACTTTGTCAGTTCTGTTACTTATTTTGCATTTGACCATGGCTACTCACTCCACACCAGGGCCACATAGGGTTTTGACTTCAGAGTTCTCCTTTTCCTTGATTGGTTATCAATCACAACTAGAGACTAGACTAGCTATTTAACCCATAGCTGGGGGGAAGAAGAGATGGATTCATACTTTTTCCATGAAAACGAATGTCATGAACTTGGATTGAATTTAAACTGAGCTTGCCAATTTCTCTTCTGAAACCGGTAACCATCATACCACCTGCATGTCTGCCATAGCCTAAAGATCAAAAAATAGAAATTTATTTTACAAGTCATATTTTATTTTTAACACAATTTACTTCATTCTTAATGTACTTCACCCAACATTTATGTATTAATCCTAAAAATCGAACATAATGCAGAAATAAAAATTTAACTGTCAGGCTCTGGACTTATTGAGTTACCCTCATATACCTAGATGGGTAACCGTTCAGGAATATCAGGTGTTATAAGCTTGGATGTGTGGGTGGTGTAATGAATAATGGCTCGGAATTGTTAATTAGAGTGCCAAGTTCCAATTTCAGTTGGGTTAGTTATATTCACTTATGTGCAAATACCCTTGGAAAAGGTATAAATCCACCACTTCTCCCCCTAGCTATGAGTTAATTAGTAAGACTTGTATCACTAAATTGTTATTTCTCCCCAAAAATTCTTACACTCTAAAAATATTTTCTGGCTTTAAATAACCTGCAAAGGGTTGATAAGCCATAAAAAGGGAATCAAGCAGTCATTCTGCCAAAATGGGTAAACAAACAGGACGTAAAAGCAATGGCAACATGCGAAAACAGGAATAACAAAAACATTGATTTAGAAAAGTATTTAAGACAGCGGAAAGAGAGCCATGTACACAGATACATTTATCATCTGCCCATATATAAACCAAATGTATTTTGATCTCGTTTTGGAAGAAGTCTGAAGTCTTGGCATTGATTAAGGGAAAGTATTCCACTCATTTGCTACCTGTTGTGAAAAAGAATATTTTTATATGTTCTGACAATAGGATTGCAGTTGGATTTTTTTTTTCAAATATATGTCCTCTGGTAGATTTATACTTGCATTTAGTAAAATATCTCTCAAAACCTATCTCAAATGAATTTACAGTGAGTCCCCCACCTATTCATATTTCAGCATTTGCAGCTTCACACATTTACAGATTTTTTCTGAAGAAAATATGTATTTGTTATTCGCGTGTTTTTCTGAAGAACATATGTACTTGTTATTTGCGTGTTTTTTTTTTTTTTTTTTTTTAGAAAATATGTACTTGTTATTTGCGGATTTTTTTCTTTAGAAAATATATACTTGTTATTCGCATGTTTTTCTGAAGAACATATGTACAAATTATTCGTTGAAAACTTCCTTCATTCACATATTTTTTCAATAGAACATTTAAAATATTCTTGTATTATTTTCCTGTTATTTAAGTGACTTAAAACATATAACTGTCCATTTTTATGGTAAAAATTGGCAGAATTGTAAATCTTCATTGTAAAAAACAAACGCAAAAACATGCGTCGTGCTTAGGATTTGTTCTTTGTTAGGGGCTGCGGCTGCAGTCTTAAAAGTGGCTTATGCTAAGTCTGGGGGCATTATCACAGTTCTGTTTTTAGAAAATGTTTTAAACTTTATATTTTTTGTCTTGTTACACATATTTTATACAGTATTTTCAATGGTTGTATCGATCTATGCATGATTAAAAATGGTTATCGTACGTATGAAAGAAAATTTACACAACGTGTATGGTCACCAATACTATTTTCAAAAATATTTTTAAATGATCTAAAATGTTTCTAAAGTGTTTAGGATGAAATTTTAAGGCATATGAGGTTTTAAAAATCAAAATAGATACTTATAAGCACTTTTAGGCGGTGGGGGGGAGTTACAAGTAATCGCAGATTCTAACTATTCACGGACAGTTCTGGTCCCTAATCCCCATGAATACGAGGAACTCACTGTACTATTCTAAACACCTGTATTAAATCAAGTCTAAGGCATTCATTCAAGTGAAAAAGCTTTTAAGTCTACTGGGGTATATTTTTATAATACAGGAATATATATGATTTAACTTGCATCTTATAATATCTGCTTGCATAAAGTGTGTGCCAACATTATATGCAATTTAATCAAATGATTAGTATAAAACTACTGAACTGAGAATCATCAAATTTTGGTCAGGCAGTTTATATCCATAAATGTAAAATTTTATGAAATTTGGTTATTGCTGAAATATACAAAATGTAATGATTGAAAATGTTTCACCTTATTTGCAACATAACAATTCAATTTAAATTGATAGAAATATAAAAAGAAAAAAAAATGAATGAAAATGACTGAATACTATAATTTATTAAAAGAATTTTTTTATTTTTTGAAAGTTTTCTTGGTTAGGCTGAAAATTTTACAGCACCTACTTTGTATTTTTATGCATTATTAATAAAATGGAATTCATTCAAGTAATAAATAAGTCATTTTTCTGTTAACTTTTCTTATTTCCTACCAGCCACTGGACTGATCTCTTTCCTTACGATTTCCTTGATGAACTGATGATGAAGACTTTGAAGGATATTTCTCACAGAATTGTCAACATTTTCCCAGATTTACGAAAAGATGTTACGAATATGATGCACAATTTGCTTAATAGAGTAAGTAAACACACCTATTGTATATAAACTCTCACTATTTTTTATTGTTAAGCTATGTGGAAATAACTGATTTTACATATATATATAATGTGTATGTATATAATATATATATGCAATTTATTATATATATATTATATATGCGTGGTACTTATTGGAAAGTGATCAATATCAGTGATAGAGCTAATATGTGTGTGTGTGTGTGTGTGCATATATATATATATATATATATATATATATATATATATATATATATTTTTTTTTTTTCCTGGATTGTTTTCACCCCAAGTCACTAAAACACAAGGGGTTACTGGGTGTGAAAGAAGTAACTATTTAATGAGCGAGAACAAAAAGAGTAATCAGGAGGACAGTTGATAGTGATGGACATTACATTTAATTTTTTGAAGATTGAAGTTGGCTGAAAAGCATGGAGCCAGAAGGACGTTCCACAAGTGAGTAGTGTGAGAAAAGAAACTGTTAACATAGAATTTACAATTTAGCTAACTCAACTGTAAATTGATGAGATGTCGATGCCAGTCTAGTACTGCACTTAAAGTCTAGGTACCATAGAGAAGATTGATATTTATTTCTGCTTATTTTCAGAAAATGTGACACAAGGCCAAAAATGAGGAAAAGGATGGTCTTCTGTCTTAAATTTAAACTTAGCTAGCCACAAACACTTTTTTTTTTTTTTTTTTTTTTATTATGACTCTTGATTCCTTGGGGAAGGTAGGGCTGCAACAACACCTCCCCAACAGACGTAGTTCCGAGTGTTCTTCTTCAGCTCGGCTCATGTTGTGCCAGCTGCCTTCACCTCTGCGTCAACACTTCTGCACCAAGTTTGTTTTGGTCAACCTGCTTTTCACTTCCCTTGTGGATTTCAGTCAAGGGCCTGTCTGGTGACACTAGAAGCAGGCTTATGGACTGTGTGGCTGATCCATCCCTGTTCCTTGATGTCAGTCTCAACTGGGTGTCTTGTCTGTTCCTGTCCCACAATTGGTCATTGGAAACGACTTCCAGCCACCTGATATTGAGGATTTTTGTGAGACATCAGTTGGTAAATGTCTGAAGTCTGTAGGTGTTGGTCTTGATTACCCACCAGGTTTCTGAGCTGTAAAGTAAGACTAACTTGATATTAGTGTTGAAGATCAGGATCTTGTAACATGAGAGGGCTGTTGATCTCCAAATTGGCTGCAGAGTGTTGAAAGTGTGTCTGGCTTTGTTGAACTTGGTAGCTTTATTTATTGTCTTGTTTGGGGGGGGGGGGTGAAAGTATTAAAATATATATATAGTTAAAAGAATTTTACTTTTGACAAAAAGTAATATTTACCAAAGAAGGTCTTAAAGTAATAAAAAAGTACAATACAATTTTCAAAAAACAAAAATGTTGAGAAATTTAAGGCATAAAGTAATGATACTTCCTGATACTTGGGTTTCTGCCAACCAGGTATCATGAAACTGTAATATATAATATATATATATATATACCTCTCTTGTTTTCTTTTCTGTTTCTGAAATTCATTTTATTTTTTAAATTTTGTAGCTTTCATGCCTCCAGGTATTCGAAGACTACATTTCTAAAGTCAACACAGAATCGCTGCAAAAATCACAAAACCAAATTATTCCTACAGTAAGACAATTTTTTTTTTTTTTTTTAAATAAAAAGTTTTTGCATATTTTATTTATTTTTTTTTTAAGAAAAAAAAATCTTTTTTATTATGAAAAATCTTTTTAATCATCAAACAAGATATTAAGACTTGATAATGGTCTACAAATGTTTTATCTGAATGCCCCAGCATATAATTTACAGATTTTAGTGAAAAAAAAAATCAGTTTTATAAATGAATTAATGAATAAAACTGCAATGAATTTTTGGTTAGTGCAGTCAGATATTCTTTCATCTTCCATTTCTGAATTCTATGGGCAGTTTTGAAGCTCTGTTTAAAATAATTGCTAGAATCTCAAGACTTTTTCCCACTTTTATAATATCTGAAACAAAGGTATAACTGAATAGTGTAAATTATAATGTATATACTAATATAATATATATTGTTGTATATAATGTATATAATGTTATATATATTGTTATATATTATGTTGTATATTGTATATAATGTTGTACATGTTAAATCAATTATCAAACTTTGAGAAAACTTGTAATGAATGCCAAAAATTTGTGCTGCAGTAATCAAGGCAAAGGGAGGATATTTTGATGAGAGCAAAATTTAATCATAAAATGCTTTTTTCTTTTTGTCATAATAAAATTTCTGATAAAAAATTATGTCTTACTTTTTTAACCATATATAATAATTTCCTCTTATTTAAAGTACAAAACAAATTTTTGGGGCCAATTTGAAAAATTACCAGGTGTAACCTCAAACTTTTGAACTGTAGTGTATATGAAAAAAATAATGTTTAAAAACCTGTTTGTGTGTACTCAAGCATAATAATCATGGTTTTTAGCTTAGCTTGGCTTCATGAACAAAGTTTTTGTCGGGTGTCTATTAATGAGTGTGCAGGCCACATGGTAATTTGTTCATAGCAATTGCAAGAGTCTGACATCTGGAGCTGGGACCAGTTTTACTCTGTTGCTTCTTTTCCGCTCTTGCTTTACATTTTGTGTCAGAGATATTGCTTGCAACCTTGCAAGGTCTTATATTTCTATGCATATAGCTAGCTTCTGTTTACTGCTCAAAATTGATTCCACAAATATCTTTATTTATTTTCCTTGACAGCACTTCTTGTTTCTCTTGTGTCTCTCTCTGTAAAGCTGGCCAGAGAGATCAATTTGGGAAACTAAGATGGAAAGTTTCTTGTACTGCCCACCAGTATTGCTATCTCACTTGTACAAAAGTGAAAAGGCCTGCTATGATTGAACTTTATATATATCTAAAGAAGAGAGAAACATAGACATGCAAAGAACCCTACCAAAGCTCAGAAATCTATTCTGTAACTTGTTTGGATTTCAGGTTTCATTACTTGTTAAAAACTTGTCCTTTTTCTTTTTTTTTTTTTTTTTTTTTTTTTTTTTAAATGAAAAGTGGAAAATTCTTTTTTAATTGCTAGTTGAAAAACATGTGATCTCCTCAATAACAAAGCAAGAAAAACATTCATATTACAACAAATACTAAGTCATGGTCTGGTTAAAGCAAAAAAAATAGAAAGTATATATTTATCATTAAATTAAGGGAGATAACTCGTATATTCTAATTTATTTGGAATTTATTTCCTTAAATATCTCAACCATGTGACTGCCTGTTTCGTAAGCACACTTACACACATTTTGTTTTAACACTTCCACTGCTCACTACGGAGATCTTCGTTTTTTTTATCTTGCTCCAGCTGGCTAAGTACGGAAACCTATGTTTTTTGCATACCGCTGTTATGAGTGTCCTATTGCGCCATCTATCGTAAAATCACAAAGGACAATGCTTCAAAAGATATCATGTGTATACCCATTACTGATCTGCTAAGTCATTCCCAGGTATATCCATGAAAATGGAATGCTGTAAAACACACTGGTATCAGTTTTCTGTGTAATAAAATATGTAGGTTGAAATTTGGCATTTTCTTTAAAAATGGCTGGCCGGATTGTGGCAGCACTGGGCAAATGAGTAGCAGTGAAAGTGTTAACATATTTTTTTTTTTTTTTTTAATTTCTGTTTTATTTTATCATTTATATCTATCTATAACCAAAAAAAAAATGTTTCATTTTTGTTCAGTGTTATATTGGAATTATTTTAAACGTATTTCATGAAGTATAAAGCTAAATAATGTTCAACAATTTTTATTACAGACAGACATTATTGAAATTTGTCCTAATCCCTTGATTCTGGCTCAGCAGTTGACTAACATTGAAATAGTAAGTATATTTTTATTGTCAAAGATTAAAATCTGTCAAACAAGAATTTTACATAAGTAAAAGATAAACATAAATTTTTGTTTGATCTTTCATGAAGATAATTTTATGAACAATATGCTGAGTATGTAGTCTACACACCTATAAAATAAATCAGTCCTTTGGTCTTAAGATTTTCTAATTGCATAAACTCATCTATGGGCTAAATAGCAGAGTTGATTGGTTTCCCTCTTTTTGGGTGGGAACCAGTGTAATAGAAGAAAAACTTGGTAAACTTGGACCTTCCTTTACACAAAAAAAAATGGAGTAGCAAAAATATGGCATCCTTTCTGATGCCACTATTATTTTAACTATCGTCACTCCTTGACTAAGTTTATTTTAAAAAACAATGATTTGAATTGTAATAAGATCAAAACACTATGAAAGTGTAAAAATAGGTTTAAATACCAACAATACATTTTTGTAAAAAATTATTACCGGCAATGAATTTTTGAAGAAAATAATTATTATTAGCAATACATTTTTGGAAAAAAAATATTACCAGCAATAAAAATCTTGTTGGCATTAAATAACCCATTGAGGTTGATATGCTGTAAAAAAACAAAAAACAAACCAAACTAAGCTTAATTTCAGGCTGGCTTCTGTTTACTGTATGTGATGTTCTGCCAAAATGAGCCTTTGGTGTAAAATTGCATTGTTGCAATTTGTGTACATTGTGCTATTTGCCTTGTGTTATTGATATATGTATCAGCATTATTTTGTGTTGCATACTGTAAATCTCTTAGTGATGTTAAAACAGCCAAAACAAATACGATCTGTGCACTACTTCTTGTGATGACTAAGTTTAGTTAGACATGGGGATCACTGTACAGATGTTACTGTTTAAACAGCAGAACTAATCTTTAAACTCCTGAAACTCAAGAACTAAGATATCAAAATAATTTATTTTGCATTCACACTCCTCCTTGGTCTTTTGAACAGGAATAGAGGTTTGTCTCTTGTTTCCTGTTTAGGATTGAGTTTTTGGTTTTATCTAAATTCTTTTCATTCTCTTTCACTCCCAGTAGCCCCTTTCATCTTAGTGGCATTACCACCTTGCTTGGGGTGAATTGATTAAAATTAATTCTTGAGAATGAATATATAATATGAGTGGTTTTGTTTATATTTTACCATGTATTGCTTTATATAATGCTTCCCATATTTTACCATATATTTCTTTGTATAATGCTTTCCATGTTTTACCATATATTGCCTTGTATAATGCTTTCCATATTTTACCATATATTGCTTCGTATAATGCTTTCTTATGAAGATATATTTGTGATATTGTTAATTTCATGTTTAATGTCAAGAACAGTAATATACTTAGTGTACTTTTGTATTTATTGGGTACATTTCTATGTGAATGGTTTATATTAAATTAGTAACATTTTTTATGTACTCTTTTGTACAGGATCGGTTTTCACATATTGGAGTTGAAGAATTTATTTGTACATGTTCTGAAGACCGAGATAACAATGGTGTAAGTAAAACGGGATTAAATTTGCTTTTCCCAGTGATTGTTTTTGAATGGTTATTTTTTCTCTCAACCAAAAGACATTTTTTAATGAAATCCTTTATTTCCAGAATTGTAACAGTAATAAAATGGTATCAAATTTGGAAAGTTATGTTCAGTGGTTCAATCGGCTCAGTTATTTGGTAGCGACAGAAATTTGTTCAGTAAGTACATTTTTTTTCCTTTTTTAGGTTTGTATTTGAACCATAATAATCTCTTTTGTATATTAAATTTTGATTCTTATTTCTTTCATATTTTTGTTGCATTTATTGCAATTTCCAGAGTGTCTTTTTATGATTGTTCTTGGAAAGTCTGTATGACTGAGGTAGCTGCCTTACCAATTAGGCTACAAAGACCAACAAGTTACAGAAATTCAGAATCATATAATTTTCATTCTTTTTCTCCAAATTCTCAGTATATATAATATTACTACACATGCTACTAGTGTATGTAAATGAAGATGGTAATGTACTATGTCTTTGGGGTGGTAGAATAAAAAATGAAAGATATGATTAAATTTGAAGTTCTGTTATTGGTTTGTCTTTATAGTCTAATTGATAATGCTGTTGCCCTGGACTGGTATGATTCTTGAGAATAATAAAGTAGTTCAAATCTTACCTGATGTTTATCTTTTATTTCCATCCTTGCTTCTTACTAACAACTAAAAAGATTGTTCGGGTTGCAAGAAAAGGTAATAGACAGCATTGATAGAAATACTAATAAAGAATTAGCAATGCTTCATCTAAGAAATTCACAAAATTAAGACTATAACGAAAAGAAAAAGAATACTTGCTAAAAATCAATAATTAACAATACTTCTTCAAACAGTATTCTTTTTCTTGATTACTAAAATATATTATCAAAAACAAAATGACTGAAAATAAATATTTTAATCTCCTTATTAGAAATATTTGAAAAAATAAATTTACTGGAAACTTATAAATGGTAATTAGAAAGTAGATTTTTAACAAAAAAATTAATTTTTTTTATGTTCCATTATTTTAAAGTCCTCATTTTGGAAGCTTGCAAAATACTTAACCATGTGCAAAGTACTGTGCAAAGAAAATTATCTTTTTTTTATTTTTTTTCTTAGTATATTCTATGTAGAATTGAAATTCCTCAGTATAAACTACATTGTTTATCCATAATGTTTTTCCATGTTTTTTTGGGGTTTTTTTTTTTACTTATTGCTTATTATTTGTATTTTATAGCATTTAAAAAAGAAGAACCGTGTTCGGATGATAGAATATTTCATAGATGTGGCAAAAGAATGCATTAACATTGGAAATTTCAACTCTCTTATGGCTATCATTGGTGAGTAACACATCTTCTGTTCAATTGATGTTTTATCATATTGGATGGTAAAGCAACAATTTTCTTTTCCTAAAATGATGTATGTTCTGAAGGAGATATTTAAGCTCAGTTATATGGTAGATTAATGCTTACCCACATGCCATAGACTACCAGTGTTTGTATCTTAATCTAGCTTAACTCCACTAGACTATAATATTAAATGAATATAGTTGAGAGTTTTACATACTAGCAGAATTGAAATTTATTTGATTATTTGACTATCTGGGTGGATTTTGAAACAAATTCTTTCCATTCACTGCAATTTTCATGATTTTTTCTCAAGTTGCTAATATCTAATAGATATCAGTGACATTTTTGCCACAAACTAGTCAGTTTTAGAATGAACTGAAAAAGAAAATGGAGATTAAATCTGGCAAATATTAAACAAGAATAAATAGGAAAACTTTTATAAAATTTGACATTTTTCACTAAATTTATTTTAGCTTCATCAGAATTTTTTTGAAATTAGTAAGCATCTGAAGAATGTTTTGGTATTTCAAATTCTATGCTGTTTGTTTTCATTGGTTGGGTAGATATCATATGTCCACATTTATAATTCTTTTTGCTATGGAAGGTGCCTTCGTATACCGTTGGTGAGATGTAAGTTCCACTTGAGCAGCTGTGTGGAACCAACTCCCAAGAGGATGCTTCTTTGATTTACTACAATGTCAACCTGTTCAAGTCTAAGGTCAACTGTTATCTTCCTCATATATCACTATAAACTGTGTCTCTTACTTTGTAACTCTCTACCTCGAGTGGCTCTTGGGCCTTGTACAAGGTGAACATCATTGTAAAAAAAAAAAAGAAGAAAAGCATAAAGGAACAATAAAAGAACAGAAATTTGGATGTTAGTTTTAGTACTGCTTAATGATTGTTTATCTCTTTAAAACACTGAATTGCTCAAATTCGGGAAAGTTTCACTAAATTTATTTTAGCTTCTAGTCTTTTTTTCATTTTGTTCATTTTCAGCAAATTTTCTTTGTAAAATACTATCCTACTTTTAATTTGGATCTGCCGGTGGTGTACTGGATAGTGGCTTGAAATGTGAAAATGGAGATCTGAGTTTGAATTCCAATTGGGTTCATTAAATTCACATGTGCAAATGCTGTTGGGAAAGGTATTAATCCATCTTTCCCCTCCCACCAAATATTGTGCTTACAGCCACATCATGTTGAAATACCTGTTCCTGTATTATCACTGAAGTTAAGCAATGTCAAGCCTGGTCAGTTCATGGATGGGTGACTGCTGGGGAATACCAGATGCTTTAAGCTAGGATGGCTTGGAATTGTTAATTGGAGTGCCTAGTTCCAATTCCTGTTGGGTCTGTTCTATTCACTTACACTCAAATACCCTTAAGAAAAGTATGAATCCATCTTCTCCCTTCAGCTATGGGTTAATTAGTAAAATATGTATCACTAAATCATTATCTCCAAAATAAAAAAAAACAAGTTATTACAATCTAAAAAAAAAAATTTTCTGGCTTTAAATAACTTGCAATGGGTTGATAAGCCATAGAAAATAAAGCAATAAAAAAAATGCTATTTGTTGAATAGCAGGACAGACTGAGTCCTATGGCTCTGGTTGGCAACCAGTCTACTGCAGAAAGAATTAGCAACCTACTACGGGATAATCTTCTACCTAGTCAATCATGAATTGAAAGAGATATAAGTGCTCAAGTGTGTATCACTTGACATAATTTCTGTATTTTTTTTCACCGCATTAATTTTTGATTAGTCTTTTCAATTTTCTTTTGGCAAAAGTGTCTGTTTTGATGAAAAATAAAATACAGTTTTCTCAAAGTGCATATTTTATTGATTCTTCTGGTAGAAATTATTTTTCAGAATCCTCTCTTTAATTGGAAATGAATATCAAAATAATCAATACATCTTAATTGTAAAAAAATAATTGGATAAGGGATCGAGTAATTAGAGAATTGGGCAAGGGATCAAGTAATTAAAGTATTGAATAAAGAAATGGATAGTTAAAGAATTGAATAGTTTTGTGGACATTTCTTTCCTCCTGACATTTCTGTGGGTTTACAAATAGAATGCTTCTCTTTATAGCTGTTGTCAGCACACACTCGCATCAGTATGGTTGTCCTCTCTCACTATTCCTTTTCTCCACCCTGATGGTGGAGATGGCTGTGAATCAAAGATAGTTTGATGAGGCCTTTCATGTGAATTTGATTTTAGTGGACAACTGTGCGACTGAGAAGCCGTCACTTAGCCAGAAGCGCCTTCCTCACAACTCAAAAGGGATAGAGAGAAGCGAGATCTGGTGAACCTAGTTGCATTGGGCTGTTGGATGCTTGCTCTATCAAGGTCTGCCTTGATTATGTGAACCCGACTGTTGCTTCCCTCTCTACTGCTTGTCTAGATCTTTGCCTATTACGTATTTGGGGTCTCCGGGAGATAGGTTTCATTCTGTCTGGTCCCTCTTCCTCAACCTTACAGGAGTTGGAACTCCAGACAACTTCGCTCTTGGGATGATTACTGGGGCATATAAGCCCTCTACCAAGGAATGACCATATATATTTTACATTGGATGTCAGAGTGAATAGTTCGTTATCAAATGTACCAATTTGACTCATTATTACTTTAATGACAATAATAGAAATGAATATAGCTGTATACAGATTGTAAAAATGTCAATAAAAATGTATGAAATTTTCATCAGAATGTTTTATCAAATAAATTCTGAATTCTTTTTCTTTATCTTTCCAGCTGGAATGAATATGTGTCCAGTTGCAAGATTACGAAAAACTGTAAGTATAAAAATGTATTAATTATAGATTTTTCCTTTTATTGCACTATTCATGTTGAAGCTGGGAGAAAGCTTGCATTGTATTCTTGTTCTATCTTCTACAATCTCTCATTATCTACATAATAAATGTGAATGTCACTGTGTCACACGTTTTCAACTTCTAGAGGCAGTAGCCCAACATATCATACCATTATGAAATCAGGCCAACTCCATGAACAAATTAAAAACATTCCAGGCCAGATCCAGACCATCAATCCTTAAATTTTTGATCCCCAAGTTTGCATTACTGCAATTGTTTTTTTTTAATATTTTTTTTATTTATTTTTATTTTTTACTATTTTTTATATGTTGCGATGAATTTTTTTGTATAATAACAATTTTTTATAACTTGGAAAGAAATTTGGGAATAATCAAAACTAAAAGTGAAATCCAGTGAAAGTCACCCATGAAATAAAAATAATTGTTTGTATGGAAAGTAAGGACCTACATACATCAAATTGTCTTTAAATTAAATGCGTTAGAAGAATTATCATTGAACTTTTAAAAGGTAAGCTCAAGTATTAATGCAAGACTTAAATGTGAACATCAATTTTGATTTCTGTAGTTTTTTGTCTATTGCATCTACTCCTCCCGACCTACTGTGAGGAAGGCCAAATCAACATCCTTCCACAAAAGCTAGCTTAAATTTAAAGCTAGTTTACATTGATTTTGACTTGCCTTTGGTGTGATGTTCCTGAAACCATGTTTGTATTTCTTCATTAGATCTTTCTTCAAATGTTAAGCTGATACTTCCTTTTTCTTTGATTGAATTCTGTCCCTCATTTAAACACCTGTAAAAAAAAAAAAAAAATCTATGTGCTCATAGTGTAATGATTACCAGTGCAGAAAATGGAATTGGTGAATCGAGTTAAAATTCATGATTATTCTACTGCATTCAATTGCATTGGGTGGCAACTAGTCTATGAGAAGGAAAACTGAATTCCAAACAGTAGCCCGCCCGGTCGGTGGGGCATCAGAATACGCCGACTGCCCCCCTGCAGAGGGTAAAAGTCCCTCAATGGGGCCACCTGTTGGCCGTGGGTGGCGACCCGTAATGTCTGGGGACGGGATCCTGGTGGTTGAGCAGGTTGTAACCCAGGTGTAAAGCGGTCACAATCTTGTAACACACCACTTTGGCCCTTACCTGGGCTAGACGGGCGGTCGGAGGGCCCGATCCGATCAATCGGCTGGTCATGTCAAGCCCCATCATATATAATCCAACCCAAACCTATAACTGACACTCCTCTTCCCAACCAAAACTAACACTTAACCCTAAATATGTGATGGAAGGCGGTGGCTGAGGGTCAATCAATTTGGGGAAAAAAGTATCTGACACACTTGCTAAACCTTCACAGCCGTAATACTTGGAAAACGGAAACAAAGGAACATGCGTGCTCAAAGACTCCTCCCAAAAGAGTATATCATTCACGTAGCCCCGACATGGCAAGGCAAATGGGTTTCCCCTGACCTGTCCCAATCTGGACTCCGTGGTGGGTAGGGAGCGAGAATGATGAACAAAAATAAAAACAATCAATGGAAAAAAAGAAATCTTCCAAGAGACCACATGTAGATAACGACTCAGAAACAGAGAATGAAAGTGAGAACTTCCCACGGTTTATTGTACTCGAAGCAATAAGCCAAAAATCATTATCAGAAATTTCTCCGTTTAAAATACAAAAAGCAATAACAAATATCATAATACCAAAAAAGGTTAAAAAAATTACAAATGGAACAATACTAATAGAAGTAGAAAAAAAAATATATGGGACACATTGATCAGACAAAAAAACTACAAGAGATAGAAATAAAACCTACCCACACCAAACACTAAATTACTCAAAGGGAGTAGTAAAAAAGTAAGGAGCTCTCCTTGTGCACTCTAGAGGAAATAAAATAGAACTCCAAACTCAAGGAGTTACAAATGTTAAAAGAATAACAATTAAAAAAAATGGAGCTGAGATACAAACTAATACCTACATTATAACGTTCAACTCCCCCAAATTCCAACTTCAATAAAAATTGATATGAAAGTATAAAAGTAGAACAATATGTACCAAACCCTCTACAATGCTATAAATGCCACAAATTTGGGCATCACAGAGATTCCTGTAGAAATAAAAAAATATGTGGGAAATGTAGTGAGAAGGAACCAGAACACAAAGAAGAGAACTGCCCAAATGAGAGCCTATGCTCAAACTGTTTGGGAAACCACTCTGCCCTCTCAAAACAATGCAATATATATAAACAGGAGAAAGAAATAATTAGAATAAAATACAAAAAAAATATATCTTACATAGAAGCACGAAAGGAAGTTATAAATAATATAAAAGAAAACACATATGCTTCCATGGCACAAAAAGCAAATAAAATAAACAATGAAGATAAAATAAAAGGTTCAATTGAAATAACAAATCTATGTAAGGAATTAAAAGCTTTCCTTGAAGAATTAAAAACCTTTTAACCGAACTTAAATCGGATCAAAATAAAACTCAACAACCCAGATCAAATGGAATAAACCCAGAAGGAAGCAAAAAAACTTTGGAAAGAAAACACAGAACAAAAACTCCAGCGAACCCTCTTCTTTCCAAACCCAAACTAAGAAAAATGAAAAATAAACAAAAAAAAAGAAAAAAAGTGACAACAGAGCAAGAAAGCACTCGATCAAGATCTAACTCAAAATCGAGAATCAGTATATCAAATGAAAATAAATTTGAACCTATGGAATATATAGAAATAGAAGAGAAAGATAATAAACAAAATTCAAAACAAAATCAAAAATCTGATCAAGGACACCACAAGCAGTTGAAGACAAAGCTTCTAAAAACTCGAGATGGAAAAAAAATTGGAGAGGACAAATGATACCAACCTAGTAGGTAACTTTACTCCCAAAAATGAAAATATAATCATGGCACATAAGATCCTGCAATGGAACTGTCGTGGAATAAAATCAAATTACAATGACCTACTCATACTTATGTCACTACTGTATCCAGCCGTCATCTGCTTACAGGAAACTTTTTTACAAGAAAATACCAACTTAAAATTAAAAATTATAAACAATACCACTATAATCACAATACAGGACATAGAGCTAATGGAGGAGTGTCAATATTGATCAGAAATGACATACCGCAAAAGTAAAGTACACATTAAAACTAAATTACAAGCAATAGCAACACAAGTGACACTAGATAAAACCATCACAATTCTTTCCATTTATATACCCCCACAGGAACCAATAAACACAACAGAAATAAACAACTTGATGGAGCAACTTCCCAAACCCAGAATCTTACTAGGAGACTTTAACAGTCATAATCCTATATGGAATAGCAAAAAGCTAGATACTAAAGGTAAAATATTAGAAGAAATAATTAACACCCATAACTTATGTCTATTAAATCATAAATCCTCAACCTACCTTAATCCCTCCAATGGAACAGAATCATCAATAGACTTAAGTATAAGCGATCCAGAAATTTGTATGGATTATACATGGAAAACACATAGTGACACATGTGGCAGTGATCATTACCCGATCATACTAGAAAATCAAAAGCCTGCCAAGGAAGAAAAGATAGGCCCCTGTCAGATGGAAACTGAAAAGAGCCAACTGGGAGGGTTTCAAAAACAAATGTAAACAAGTACTGATACAGTCAAAGGACACAGACAACTCGGTAGAATACTTTACCAAAACATTAATAACCATTGCCTCAGAAAATATACCAAAAAAGCAAAATAATTATAAAAAACTAAACCCTGGTTTGACAAAAACTGCCAAAAAGCAGTCAGAAACCGGGAAGTAGCATTACGAAAAAATTCAAGAAGGAACCCACAACCCAAAATTTGATTGAAATGAAGAAACTCAAAGCAGTAGCACGGAAAACTGTAAAAAAGAAGCCAAAAGGAATGTTGGAAAAAATATGTAAACAGCCTAAATACACATTCTAAAACCAAGACAATATGGGAAATGATGAGGAAAATAGCTGGAAAAGATCAAATACACCCAATAATACATCTTAAAAAGGACAACACTAAAGCAACTAGCAAAAGAGAGATAGCAAACCTACTAGCAGAGACATTTGCAGAAAACTCTAAAATGAGCAAATAAAATCAAAACCTACAAAAGTGTAAACAAAAAGATATAAATAACCAACTAAATTTTTCATCTAAAAATACAGAAGCCTACAACAACCTATTCACTGAAGCGGAACTAATAGAAGCCATAAAAAAATCCCATAATACAGCAGTAGGCCCAGACCAAATCCACTATGAATTTATTAAACAACTACCACAAGAATCGCTGAAATACCTTTTGAATATTTTTAACAATATTTGGACTACTGGGAAATTTCCCAAAATATGGAGAGAATCTGTAATTATTCCCATACTCAAAGAAGGAAAAGAGGGAAACAACCCACAAAGTTACCGACCAATAGCATTAACAAGCTGTCTATGTAAGACAATGGAGCGAATGGTCAACACCAGATTGAGTTGGTTTCTAGAAGAAGGAAAACACATATCAGAATATCAATGTGGATATAATAAAGGAAGAAGTACAATAGATCACATAATAAGACTAGAAACAGCCATAAGAGAGGCCAATTTAAACAAACAACATCTAATAGCCATATTTTTTTATATAGAAAAAAGCATTTGATCAAACCTGGAAACATGGTATAATGAAAGATCTGCATAAATTAGGATTAAGAGGTCGACTACCAAACTTCGTAAAAGGATTTTTAACAGATAGACTCTTCCAAGTACAAATAGATACTACACGTTCTGATTATCAAAAGCAAGAAGAGGGAGTACCACAGGAAGTGTACTCTCCCTACACTTTTCAAAATAAAAATAAATGACATAATAAAAAAAACATCAAATCAGGAATACACTGTAGCCTTTTATGTTGATGATTTTACAATATATTACAGATCAAGAAACCTCAACACAGCAGAAAGA